ATATTTTTGATGTAATAGATAATACATACTTTTATCGCAGTAAAATTTATTAGGCATACTTATCAAAATAGGTAAACCTTAAACATATTTTCAAAGCATCTCAGGTTTTAAATTATTGTGTTGAAATTTTGATGACTAACCGAATTTCTGAAAACGTGCATTTTCTACGTTTGTCTTAACAGAACAATGAAAATGAAACTGCCCTGCACTGTGCAGCTCAGTATGGACACTCAGAAGTAGTGGCTGTTCTCCTAGAAGAGCTCACTGATCCTACCATCAGAAACAGCAAGCTAGAGACACCTTTGGACCTGGCGGCCCTCTACGGAAGGCTCAGAGTGGTCAAAATGATCATCAGTGCACACCCGAACCTAATGAGCTGCAACACGCGAAAGCACACACCACTACACCTTGCCGCTCGCAACGGTCACAAGGCCGTTGTTCAGGTGCTGCTGGAAGCAGGCATGGATGTGAGCTGTCAAGTGAGTCTTCTTCAGCGACACTTTAAAAGCGACGTTGCTCTTGCTTTGCTTTGAGATGCACGTTAAAAGTTATGTGTAGAAATCATATAATGAATTGACATTTTTTAATTAGTCAAACTGTTCACGGGTATTTTTGTAATGACAAAACTCAAGACACTTTTGGGAAATATGAAGAGATATAAGGCATAATCTCTAAACTTCATTCTAATTTGAGGGCTATACACATGAAAACTTATTACAAGATGGCATTTGTTTGTGATGTCATTAGTAATTCTTTCCTTTCTCCCCGTATCTAGCACACAGCCTGACATACAGTAAGAATCCAGTCAAAGTTGAATGGATGAATTAGTGAATGGATGAAACAAAATTCACTTGAATATTTTGAGTATGTACTTTGTGTTTAATATGTTGACACATTTAGAATTGAATTCTCACAACTGTCCTGTGGGATTGAGAGCTATTAAGTTCCAGTTAAGAGATGAGGAGTCAGATTTAAAAATTTAAGAAACTTGACACAGGACACACAGCTGATAAACTGAGAATGTGAATTTAGACTTGCTGATAAAAGTCCAGGCCTTGTTCCATAATAATATGCTGAGTGTGCATGACTGATGAAGGAAAGCTCTTATGCCTACGAGCAATCAGAAAAAATTGGAGAGGTGTGATTTGAGTTGAGCTTTAAAGAATGGATAACATTTAGGTCGATTTTTTTTCTCCGGAAGGAAAGGATAATCTGCATTTTTTAACTGTCTCATGTTAGCCACAACTTTTAAAAAACCATTTTCTCCTTTTGTGAATGTTTTCTGGCTCCCAAGTCAGTGGCAGCATTCTCACCTTCCAGAGACCTTTTTGGTTCCTGTCAGGTTGTGACCTTCTCCCTGTGTATTAGTAAGCTATTGCCGCATAACAAATGATCCCAAAACTTAATGTTTTATCACAATAACTGTTTTATTTAGCTCATAATTTGGGGGTTGGCGATTTAGTCTGAGCTTAGCTGGGTAGTTCTCTCTTGGCTGGGTTCTCCCGTGTATCTGGGGGCAATTGCATAAGTCAGGTAAGTGACTCTGCATCAGGAATTGGCTGGATGTTGCCTGGAATAATGGGTGAGACTGGAATGTCTTCTTTATTCGACACTACCTTTCTCTCAAGGAGTGCTGAGATTTCAGAGAATATGTATGGATACATAAAATGACAGAATTTTTAAACCTGTAAGCATTCCTAATGCAACTGTGCTTCTTTTTCTTTCTCTCTCTGTCTTTTTTTTTTTTTTCCAGACAGAAAAGGGGAGTGCACTGCATGAAGCAGCTTTGTTTGGAAAGGTGGATGTTGTCAGAGTTCTGTTAGAAACAGGTAACTATCATGATTCCCCATGGAGCTTACTTGGCCAAATACTATTTCCATTTCAGGAGTAAAGGGAAATGACACAGTTTTTTACATAACCACCATTCTTATCTTCACTCCAAATTGCAGACATTTATTCATGTCAGGTAGAATCAAGCCTCGGTGTTTAGATACAATTGAATAAATGTTTACCTTCTTTCATTCAATGGATTTTTTAGTAAAAAGCTCTTGGAAATTACAATACATTTTATACATTTAAATCACATTAAAATGTACTAGAGAAACTTTCAAAAGGAAAAGGAAATCTCTGGCTTCTACGTGAGGGAGGAACTGATCTCTGTGATGTTATGACAATTGCTTTGTTTATTAAAGAACATAATATTTCCTTAGGTTTTTATGTTGTGAACTATGATAAACAGAAATTAGAGTTCCCTGTTCTTAAGGCAAATTCTCCTTTTAGTTACTTCATCAACTGAATAGCTATTGTTTGTAAGCTGCGGTGATTTAAAGGGAACCTTTTAGAAGGAATGCTTTGAAGGAGCAACAAAGTAGGCTTATTTGTTTTCATATGAATATTCTGATTGAAATGAAATAAAATTGAAACTGAGATCAGACTATTTTTTAGAATCAAAAGGCATGGGTACAAATTCATACTTGGAAACTATTGATGTGAGTCTTTTGTGTTATGGACTATATACAATGTATTTATTTTCTGCCTCTGTAAAAATATAAAATGTAAAACATTGGCAGACTACTGCATTTTGATTATATTTATTCAAGAATAAAATTTTGTATATATTTAACTTTGACATGGAACACAGTGATATAATAAATGTTTTGAGGCAGTCAATTAAATATGTGCTAATCACACATTCCTACACAAATAAAAAACAATAAAAATAATACATAATCTTATTATGACGAACTAATATTTGAGGCCTAATTGTGAAAACTGGCTTTGTTTGTGGTTAGATGTTTGGAAAGTTTATAAACTTTTTTGGAGTGGTGAAAACTATTTGCTGCATGACAATAAGTTCGTTAATACAATATATATTTTCGGAATTAAAATAATTCTGAAGGCGTTTCAGTTACATACTTCAAGAAATTTGCTCACCACATAGATGATGAGTGTTGCTGACACTGAATATAATCTTGCATAAAAAAGTATGAAATATTTGACTTTGTATTTGAACAATAGTTCAAAACCATGCTCCTTCAACTTTTGTGAATATACAAGTATTTTAAGACTTCTTATATTACTCATATGATACATTATTATCATTTAAAAATATTTTTATGGTATTATACAGAATATATAAATCACCTGACCATTATACTTTAGGAATTCACACTCTAAATCAATAATATTTTTCAGCCTGATAGCGTACCATTTAGATTACAACCTAAGATAGCTATATTCCTAAAAAGCAACCTTAGTGATTGTGTCAGTTCCTTAAGAGCTAATTCATTGCTTAGAATGTTCTAATCTTTGCTAGCAGTAGACCCCCATCTTTTGTCTTACTAAAATCTGTGGTATGTGTGTATGTAGCTTAATTCACCTTCAGTGCTTGGTCTGTATACGTTTGAATAGTGTAGGAGCTATATATTAACAGTATATAGCCCTTTTTCTTTCAGGAATTGATGCCAACATAAAGGATAGCTTAGGCAGAACTGTCTTAGACATTCTGAAAGAACATCCATCTCAGAAATCTCTCCAGATTGCAACACTCTTACAAGGTAAACAATATTGAATGATGGATGAGTTTGCTTTAAAGTTAAAATTAAAGGAAGACTGTCCTAGTTTTCTCTTGGGTTTTGAGTTAATGTTTACTTTTGAATGACCTTATGTTTTACATTTTTTGGTGGACTTTTAAACTAAATAATAATACTTTAAATGTTTTATTTATGTTTTTCAGCTACTCAATATTTTAAGAAAAGCTAAAGCATTTTTTCACTTACTTGATATTAAAAAAGTCTTTTTTAAATCTGTGTAGTAATATGTAATTATTAACTTGAAGGTAAGAAGGCTATAAAGTGATGACGATTAAGTATTGTCTCACATATAAATACTGCTTTCAGAGTTTTCAGGGATTTTCTTTAGTTTTGTCTGATTTCTATAACTCTATGACGTAGGTAAGTACAGATACCGTTATTTTTCTTTTTGCACACGAGGGAAACTGAAACGACAACAAAATTGTAATTATCTGAAAGAATACAGATTATTTCCTCCCTAATCCTTTGTTTTTGATAAAGGTCATTTCAGTACCTTTGTAGTCAGTTGCAGTCAGTAGGTCTACTGAAAGTTCGACAGCCATCTAGTTACTACTTTTGCATTTGCAGGATTACATCCCTGTTTGATCTAAAACTTTTATGAAGGATTTAGATTCAAATGCTTTCCTTCTGCTTAGTGATGAGGGCTGGCATGTAGCATGTTTCCTTAAAAACCTCGATGTTCATTCTTTCCTTTCCAGTTAGCTTCTACACTATTTAGCGTGATTATTCCCTATAATCATTACAGATTAGCTACCTGCAAGTGTAGCAAGTGAGGAGGGAGGCAGGATGGGTTTCATTGGATATCAGTTGGGAAGCTGAAGGACAGCTCTGTCCTGCTGAGAGATAAGTGGATTAAAACTGTGGGCCGGAGATATGTACATATAGGAGTCAACAAGGCCAAAGAGGGCTGTAAAAAATAGATGCGCTACAGAAGGTTATTATGCTTTCTTCTTTCTGTATTTTCAAAACCCCTCAGGGAAGTTCAGGTCCCTCCAATTTTCTTTTCAATAAAGAAGTTAATTCCAAGTCAAGTGCATATAGAGACAAATCAGAGGAGAACATAATAGAGAAGAACATAAGAGTGGCTCTTCATATTCATTCAACTTAAAACTAACTTGAATGAGAGCTAAAAAGTAAATGCAGTACACATTTTTATGTTTGTCCCCTCTAGGCACTTTGTATTTCATATTGGATTTTTGCCTCTGATTGAACTTACAAAAAAAACAAAAAACAAACAAACAAACAAAACCTGAGGCTTGTGCATGTCTTCTGGGAGAAGCAAAATAAATGTCATCCACTAAAAAGGGGACATGACATAATTACCGACATTTTTTTGTAAGGTACTGCATTAGTTCAACTTAGATAAAAATGTGATTATAGAGGAGTAACTATCTATGTTCTTTCAAATGATAAAGATTCGTTAGGTATGCCAATTTGTGATAAGGTATGGGACATCTTTGAATTTTTGAAGTTATTGGCAAGTTTTAGAATGTGAATACGTTATCTGTATTCTTTACATTCCTGGATTTCAAGACACTTGCACATGTTAAATCATATGAAAAGGTTTATTATTGCAAGCAAGTTGATTTATAGTAGGCAAAATTACTATTTGTGTCCTGGAGGAGGAATTCAGTTTACATAATTACTTTGTAAGTCAAAACTTTTAAGGAGAGAAGCCCATAGGTTACTTTCTTTTTGGAGTACAATCTGCCTATAGCAGAATTGCCCTTATGTAGAAACTATTTGAATGGTATGAGGACACAAGTTGGTGTCATGAGGGCCCAAACTTTCTTAACTGGGTCTTAAGAAAAAGGCTCCATCTGAATAAAGAAGTGCAAGTAAAATATCCCTATGTGGAGGGACATGTTGTTATAACCCATTAGATGGAGACTGTATACTAGCCACCATGAGCTGAAGGCTTTTGGTAGATGCATATATGTTTTGTTTAGATCAATATTTTTGGCCTACACTATGTTTGCATAAAAAAATTGAATTAGCTTTCAACATTTAAAAATCTAGAATTTCATTAATACTCCAGAGTTTTGATTTCTCAAAAAATGCAGGCTTTCGTTTTACTTCATTGCCTAACTTTAGATGGGGCACGTGCTTTCTGGTTACTCATGGTCCACATGCTTTCTGTTCTTTCTGTAACTCTGAGGCTGAATATTAACTGACATTTTCCCCTGCATTCAGGTGCTGTTTTCCTTATGCTAAAAAGTGAGATTTTTTTTCGTCACATGTCTATCTGGCTCTGACACTTATTAGCTGTATGAATATGGCCAAGTTAAAATCTTTCTTCTTTAGTTGTCATCTCTAAAACTGAGACAGTAATAGTATATTGCCTGTGTCATAGTTTAGTGAGGATTGAGTGAGTTAATTTATATTAAATACTTAGAACACTGCTGGGTACATAGTAAGCAATATTTAAGTTTTAGCTGCTATTACTATTATTATATCTTCATCAAAGTTGCAAAAATGAGAAATAGACTGAGTGTGGGACATTGTTTCAGGAATAATGGGAAAGAACATTATTTTTTTGTGGAAATAAAGTTTAATATGCACTTATGTTTATCTTACAAGATTATGGTACCATTATAACATAAACTTATTCCACTTCATTTATTTATATTACCCAACTGTTTGTTTTATGCATCTGAATCTGACATTTTTGTTTTGGCATCAAGTCTACTTAAAGCATCTTTCAGAGTTTAAATCTTCAGGTAGAATATATTTAAGGAAACCAAGGATGTTGCTGTATCTTCAACAGGCGAATTTATTTTTAAAGAAGAAATGTGACAAGTTTAGTTTTCAGGAAAAGGGTTCATGAGTTTCTTCCAAAATACCTTTTTTATTTTAATTCAAACCTTTAAATTAATAGCTCATCATGAAGTTCTTTGTTTTTGTTTTTGTTTTTTTTTAATTTCTTTGAAAATTTTAAGATATATTTAGAATATGAGGAAATAAGTGAAAAACTGATCACTGGAAGTAAAACATAAAGTTTACTTAAAAAATTTCAAATAAATTAATTCAAATATGTAATTCTAAAAACTTATATATACACAGAATATTTAGAAGGCTTGGGAAGACCAACAGTCCTTGAAGAACATGTACAAGAAGATACAGCACAAGAAACACACATTTTATCTCCTGCTGAGTCTCCTTCTTCCCAAAAGACCAAAAGTGAGTAGCTAATTATAAAGCCCGTGAAATGATACTAGACTCTTATGTACAAATTCATCCTACATATTCAAAATTGCTAAGACTTGTGAAATTTCAAGTCTAGTAAGTTATGTTATATTCTACATTTGATCCACTTATTAAACCAACATTTGTTGAGCTCCTGCTTTTTGTCAGGCACTACTCTTGACCCTGAAATACAGTGGTGAGCAAAGTTGATAGAAATCCCTGTTATCATGAAGTTTTCATAGAATGAATATTTTAGAGGAGATTTTTTTTTCCTAAAATGCATTTTTAATGCAGAATAAAAATATTGATATCTGGAATGTAACTGCTGGAATTTTTTTCAGAATAAATTATAGCTATGAAGTACCTTTATTAAAATGATTAGAAAAATGAATGTTTGTGTGTAACCGACAAAATATTTATGTTTTGACATATGATGCATATAATTTGTGTTTTTGCTTTATATCACATACCATAATTCTAATTTATCAATTACTTATATAATTATTTGTTTAAATACATTCTACTATTTCTTTTTATTGAAGCTAGGAAGTAGGATCCCAGCACCATTTTAAATTTGCTAATGAATTATTGAATGAATTCTCTCAGTGAAGTATAATGCTAATAAAAGATTATGGAAGATTAAATGCTATAATAAATGAAACTTTGGGAATTGTAATTCCAGATGCTTTTATGTACTATGTCTATGTAAACCTTCAATACTTATTTCCATTTTGAAAAAAAATAATAATAGGCAAAATTGGAATTTCTTTCTTTTCTTTTCTTTCTTTTTTTTTTTTTTAGTATTATACTAATTATAGTTTACTACTTTGTTTTCAGGAGAATATTTTCTGACTACTTAATCTTGTTTGCCACATTTTGAGTTTTATTACCATACTGGTCACATTTTTATTATTCAACATTAAATTTTATCAGTGGCCTTTCTTGAAATTTTGAAAAATTACTGTTTTCTTACAGGTGAAACCGTGACTGGAGAATTATCGAAACTCTTGGATGAAATAAAACTCTGTCAAGAAAAGGATTATTCTTTTGAAGATTTGTGCCACACAATATCAGACCACTACTTAGATAATTTGAGCAAGATTTCAGAGGAAGAACTTGGGAAAAATGGAAGCCAGAGTGTAGTAAGTAAGGGGGGAAAGAAGACAATACGTCTGTCTTTGCCAGTTCAGTGTGTACCTAAGAGGCATGGGATTTGTGCATTATCCTATCTTCAGATTCTGCCAGTGTGAAATGTCAAGCTCCCTATTGCTCCTTCCCTGATGTTCACTGGTATTTTATTCTCACTGCATGTGTAGGGGAAGGGATGCTTTGATAAATCACTTATAGTTTCTGATGGTCCTGTCACTGTTAGACTCTCGTAACACACAAATTCATAGTTTCTTTAATTACTATTTTTCATTTTATTTTATTTTTTAGTTTCACTGGGTATAATGATATTGATTTACAAAGAAAGTAGAAAATCTTCCTTTTGTCTTTTCCGCCATTTTGTCTGTGACCTGAGTCTAACCCAATCTTGAAAAAGAAAGAGCTGAGCCATGTGTGTATGTATAGTTGCTCTGTATGTTGTAGCAGGAGAAAGATGTTATGGAAAGTTTGACCTCCATATTTTTATAATCTTATGCAAATCCCAGGGGATTTCCATGCAACCTACAAGCTCAGATTCTAAATCATGAGTAAGAGATTCTTGCTCATTTGGATTTTTAAGCGAGCACAATAGCAAGAAAAACTGTAGAGAATCGATCCGTTTAAAATTAAAATTTGTATATCTATTTTGTGTCCTATAAAGGAAGGATTTATAGGATGCACTGGTATTAAAGGAAATACATTATTATGATACTTTTAGAACTTAATTTGTTTTAGAAACATGTTTTCTTCAAAAGTCGATAGAAGAGTGAATTGTGTTAAGTACGTCATGTTACTTTATGAAAACTAAAAAAAGAATAGTTGAGTATAGTGACTGTTATACTTTTACTTCACTTAGTTACTTAATGTGAGTTGTGACACCACTTCCCAGGGTAGTAATTGCTGGTCTAGTTCCATGGCTAGTCCTATCACATAGGCCTGTTTTTGTTTTTGTGTGTTTGCTGTGCTGCCTTTTGTAAAACATCACATAATTGGCTCCAATAAAAGGTCTTTATGAATAATTATGATTAAAGATATATCCTGAAGTAAATATTTGTTGGTTTTACCAAATGAAATTTTTATATTAATGAAATATTTATCGTAGTTAACTTTAATGTCAGGGAAAATATTTCCTATTTAAAAATCTAAAACAGATATACGCTGTCTCCAAATTATAAACCAGTTACATTTTAACATTTCCTTGAAAGTTGGTTAGAAATTAGAACATATTTATACAATGTAAATAATACATGGTGTTTAGGTTTTTAGGTCTGTCCCTAAAGATTTCTCTAAACTGGCTGTATCTGGCCTTCTACTTCTAAATCCACAGATTTTCTTAAAGCCCCAATTTTTTACATCAGAAGTTTCTAAACTCTTCTCGTATTTATCATAGTAAACAAGTTTTGAGCAAACATCCCAAATGCATTTATTTATAAATTATATATATCTACCAGTTTTCTAAGAATATATGATGTAAATTATGAAGCATATACTGCAAAAGAAATTAAGGTGTGTAGGATAAAGAATAAGAGTAAATAGAAGGTCTAATTTTTTCTTTCACTGAGTATACCATGGGGTTTGTTCACTTATTAATAACACCATGCTTATTCAAATTTATAGCTTTCAGATAGTGATGGCAGGGACAGGCTTATAGCAGGGGTGATGTAATTTGGGAAATGATGACCAAATTTTTTTTTTTTTTGATAAGTCAAAGGCTGTATTGTCATAGTAGCAAGAGAGAAATTAATACTCATAAATTGAACTTAAGTTCTTAAAATTCAAGTTCACACTTTTACACAATTACTCTTTGTTCCTGTGACAAATCTTTATACTTTGCTCTTTGAAAATATTGTCATATTAAATATTAAAGGTTATATGAAGCAGAAAAGCAGAGGGTACATGTGAGTAAGAGCAAGTAGTTCTATTTATCTCGAATAACAGAGTTTATAAATGGGGAAAATGGGAGATAAGATTAGAAGGATAGGTTGAGGTCACACCATGGATGATTTTGAATGTCAGGCTAGGAATTTGGGTGTTTATTTTTTAGAAAATGAGAAAAATCAAAAGGATTTTGGGCAGATAAAAGACATCCTTAGAAGTGGCCTTTCAGAAGATTAATCTGATAGAAACTTGTTATTGAATGTTTAAAAAGTAATCAAATTATTTTGACCGTTCTCTACAACCTGTGTTTCATTTGGGTTCATTCCATTTTGTTGGATATTTGTTTCCATTCATCAAAAATGTTTTTTTCAGAGTTCTGTTATGAATTATACTCTCAAACTATGCAAAAAATTAATCAAGTACTTAATATAGATGATCTTTATCATGTTGTGAGCTATAGGATTTATAATAGTAGCAATAATGAGAGACAGTTCCTGGCTTCAAGGAGTTCAGAATTCCTATTCCCAGGAGTCCTTAGTTGCAGTGTATAGACAAGGCTAACATATAAAACAACAAAGATATAAGACCTATATTTATTATGTGCTTGCTACTGGCCATTCTAATGCCTTATATGATTTAAGCCACTTAATCTTTATAGTAATCCTAACAAAGGAATTATAAACTTGGGAAATGACTCAGCTGGCAAGTGGCAGGTCTAGGATTCAATCTCAGAGCCAATGTCTTTAATTCCTACTTACATTTTTCATAATGAACTATTTTGCGTCCAGAGAAGTTTTTTTGAAAAGGGAGAGATTACTATAGATTTATTGGTATTCATTGAAAACTTCATGGAGGTAGGAAGAGACTAAACTGGGCACTGGAGGAAGAGGAGATGTGCCTAGTACTTGTGTTGGAATACATGAATTAGCAAATGAATGAGCGAATGAATGGGAAAGGATTCCAGCCTGCAGAGACAGTATTTGCAAAGCACAGAGGTGAAGCATAGCATCTAATTTGAGCAGAATAGTCCCATGAGTTGATCTGGGAATATTGTGGGAAACAAATTTGGGTAAGGAATGATAATACCTAACACTTAGGGAGCACCTTATTTATATTAACTGTATAATAACCCTATGAGATAGGTAGTATTGTTCCTCCCATTTTACAGATGAGAAAGCAGAGGAATAGAGAACTTTTATGATTTTCCTAAATTTACACAGTAAGTACCAGAGCAATGGATCTGCACAGAGGCAGTCTGGGGCCAGAGCTGTACCCCTTACCTCTCAATTTTTTTGCTAAGTCAGGTAATTAAATTTGGGAAATTAGTCAGAAGTTTAATATTGATGCCAAGGAGAATAAACCATTGAGTAGGAGAGAGTTGTATTGTTTTGGGAAGGTGACATTTTGGGAAGGTGAAAGTGGTAACTGAATGTCAGATGTTGTGGGCAGAGATTCTCAGCAATAGTTATACATTAGACATATCTGCAGAGGCTTCAAAAAATACTGAGACTTTCACGTACCATTTCAGACCAACTAAATCAGAATTGTTTTCGGTGGCTCTGAACACTGTTCTTTTAAAAAACTTATTTCTAACATGCACACAGTTAGTCTAGAAAACCAAAAGCCTGCCAGGACCTACTGAGATAATTCAGGCCTGAGATGCAGAGTCTGAATTGAGGTCTTGATAACACCACAAAAGTAGAGAATTTCAGAGCTAGACTAAATCTCAAAGATCTTTTAGTATCCAGCCTAATTCTTCTCCTCCTCAGTGTAAAAGCTTCTAAAAATCTCTTGAATTAGGGAAGATTTTAGTTTCCCATCAAGCAAAATTCCAACTGTAGTCCAGCCATAGTCCTAGATTAAAATCATTTCTATTATGTTGGAATGTTAAATGTGGACAGATGTTTTTGGTTATTATTCACCTTACTGAATGAAGGATGAGCATTTAGTTTCAGTTAAAATTTAATTTTAGATGATATGAAACTTCTAACTTGTTCATCATAATATGACAAATAAATCTAAAAGCAATTTAGAAAAATTTAAAATGTAGAGAAAATATATTGTGTAGTATTTGTACCTATTAATTAATGATATGGCTTAAATTTTGGGGGCATTTTAACTATTCTTAGTTCATTTTAGCTTTTATTGCCTTTTTTCCTTCCAATAGAGGGCACTCTAATTCAGTAATTTAAAATACAAAATCAGCCAGCCATCTTATGTAAGAACTTTTATTTTTGAATCAGAGGTTTTGGTTTCATTGAAATATAATATTAGCCTTAAGGTGGTACTTCGAACAATTTTGCTAATATAAGTGAATTAAAAAATTAAATTTTTATTATGATTGAATGTATTCAATTAAAAGTTTTGCATTTAATGAGAAAGCCAGCTCCAGTTAAAAATACATTTTCTCTTGCATAAATTTTAATTCAAAAGTTAGTCTGTTTTAAATACTTTTATATATGCATTTGGAGCCATTTTCTAAGTCAAATTAGGATATTATATAATCTAGAATGTAAATTTTGAAGAAATATAAATATCTTCACAGTTTTTCAACCCGTGAAATTTAGGTTTTTGAAAGAATATAAAATAATCTGAAAAAGAATCTATATTCTTTTCACTTGTTTTCTCAAATCATATATTCAGTTTTTTTCTTCATGTGTATAAAGAATGTATACAACTTTTAAATGTGAACACACCATGCCATATAGAAATTTGAGCAGATTTTAGAATCTAGGTTTCAGGAAAGCATATTTTTAAGATTTAAAATGGGAAAAGCATTATTGTCTCATCAGCCTATGTCTCTAAGAAATAAATAGGAAGCCCCAGGGATGAAATGCATTAAGTATATTTTCTCCTGAGGGAAAACCTAGACACAAGCAGCATCTAGACTTATTGTTTGAAAGTGTTTTGTATAATCGTAGATTTTGTGTAGTTTATTCAGCCAGTAGATCTCTTTTCTGTTACTTCACTTTCTTTTCTAATGCAAAATTCTAAACTACATGTAACCCTTCTGAAGAGTGAGATATTTTACTTTAGTCTTTCAAGGTTTCAAGATTCAACTTCTCAGTTTTTATACCAAGCTTCTAAAAATGCTTCTGAGAGTTGGAAAGGGCCAGTC